AAATACTTCTAGTTCAGGACCAATGCGACATAACTACAATTCTTGGGGTACAGACAGCGGAACAGAAAGCGTGTTTTTCTAATTGGGGGATACACTTCTCCTCGATTGAACCCACGGAACTAACAACCGTGGTTACCTCCTAGGTATGGATCATTTTATGCCAATGCCCTGTTTAAATGAAGTCAGAACACATCTTATAACCGTTTGTTTTTATTTGTTCAGATAGTTTGCTAGTAACAGGTCCCACAGGCCGAGGTATTCCCGTTTTTGATTATATTTCTTTGGGTCAAACGTTAAGGTAACCTTTTTTCTATCTTAGTCCAATAATGATTATGACCATTATCGCTGTTTCGCGGATCTTACTTATCTAACTTGAGAAGTTTTTACGTCCCTAAAAGGAAGTGCCATATGTGGAAGCAGGATATTGATTGGTTGGTGAGTGGATGGGAAACTACTGGATTGCAAAACATAGAATTTCATGAGTTGGAATCAAAGATGGCATTTTGGAAAGATCGCGATTTGCGACTTCTACATCAGCATCTCGCTAGTGAATGCGTTGCTACATACACAAAATCAAGTTTCAGAACTCGGTATTGTTGTCGAACAAATGCAACAAGGAATACTCTCGAGCAGATTGTTGGATCAATGACTGGTGATATATGGATGGATGAACGTGTTATTGAAGCAGCAATTGCACTGATTTGTGATAGCACCAAAGACAGTATTTGTGTATCACCTCATGCTCCAAAACTGAATTTTCAATGCAATCGTGAACTGGATTATGAACATGCTTCTTGGGTAGTGTTACCAGCCCATCAAAATGGAAATCATTGGGGTGTCCTAATGGTTTACTTTGAAGACCGGGACCACATCAAAATTTATCTCTATGGCTCCATAGGCTCTCAAATTTACCAGAATTTGCTATTGAAACTTTGAGAAGACGGCCTGCAACCATTTCTCAAGACGGTGCGCCAAATACCTATCGCTAAGACACTAATCCAAATGACAAGTCCTAAACAGCATGACAGCTCCAGCTGTGGTATAATGGTAATTGGACAAGTATACTCCTTTTTGAAAGAAAAAAAAAGTTATTTCAGACAGACAACGTAGACGGATCCTACGTTAAATGCATGCGACTTCGATTACTTTGGAGTGTACTTACACAGACATTTGTAGAGGATAGCCGTCAAGACGAAGTCATCAAAGCGCGTGACACAAACAAGAGGTTGTTTCAGGCTTTCAAGGACGAAGCATCAAAGTACCAGACAATGAATATCTAGTAAAAAAATACTTTAGAAATATTATGCCAGCGGCAT